TTCTCTAGTACTGATTACAGGACAACTGATCTTCTCAGGAAAGAATCTTTCATTTAAATATCCAAGAAATCTTCTGCAGAGCAAGTCAGGGCAGATTAAGACGGAAATGCAGCAGGGCAGAGCAGGGTCAGGTTAAGAAAAATTTTACAGGGCAGGTTACAGGTTGTGAAAAATGCGTATCCTGCAGGCCTCTATAGGACGAAAAAATTGATCTCATCTCTAGCTTGATTCGAAGGCAGCAACAAACGTGCAGATGTTCATTCAGACTGACAGAGTTCTATATGTCTGTAACGGCTTAACTAGTTTTGCGACATCCTGTTTTTTGGTTCCAACATAATATCTCATATAAATGATGAGGTTTCCTCAATGAGCAAGTGAATCTTTTTTTAGTACAGGTTTAGTACATGATTTTAAGTTATGTGATATTCGATAGAGAATTTAATAAGGTATAAAAACGATATATAAAGCCAAGGGGGAAAAAGCAGATCCTCGGATCCTTGGATCCTTTTGGATCCTCTTGGATCCTCTGGGATCCCAAGAGGATCTCAAAGGATCCAAAAGGATCCAAGAGGATCCAAGAGGATTCAAGAGGATCCAAAAGGATCCAGAGGATCCAAGAGGATCCAAGGATCCGAGGATCCGCTTTTTCCCCCTTGTATAAAGCTATTTGACTATATTATAACATAATACAGTGGTAGATACAAGGCTTTGCCTGAGTAATCTCGAAAAGCTCGAAGACGGCAAAGGTAACATCTTAGTAGTGTTAATGTTGTCGGGGAAAGGAAAAATGGGCTATACTATGTTTTTAATCATTTTACACAAACATTAATTTAACAAAAAATATCTAACAATTAGTCATTTTTAATTTTTTTATCCTTAGCAACAATAAACGATAAACCTTCTAAAGACTCTTCTCAATTCATTTCATCATTTGCATAATGATAAACAAGAGTATGAATCAGTGTTAAAAATATGATACATCACAGGATTTATAAAGCCAAATATCCTTTCGTATACTCTTGTCATTGCTTTTATCAATTAGACTTTATTAGCTTACTTTCTAATCTTTATAACTGTTCTTTTTTATTCCATAGGAAGCGATGATTAATTTATCTCTATATAATTATATTCTATTTTTTAAACTGTTCTTTTATCTTTTATGGGAATACTTTTTATTGTACATGATATTATTATGATTAACAGCTGCGTCTCATACTCTTTGATTATTTGTCCGATCGGCCAATTTTCATTCGACCATTTTTACAACATCAACTCTACTAAGATTTTACCCTTGTCGTCTTCGAACTTTTCGACAGTTTTGTTTTCGACATTACTCAGTACATTCTTACAATCTCCTATCCTGAGATATTGAATGTTCGAAATTCTCTCATATGTAGCAGTAAAATGCTCGAAAGGCTAAAACTTACCCAAAGAACTCATCTCATTAAGAGAATTGTTCGTGCAAAGTTTGAGTTCGAAGCTCAAAAGACGATTTTCCACGTGTTCGAAGGAGAACCACAGCTTTCTATTGAAAAATCCAGTAACACTTCGATATCTCGAGAACGAGGACACGGAAAACCAAATAATTCTAGACTTTTCTATTAATTTCTAGCACTTATCAAATGAACATTTTCTCGATTGACAAGCGATTGAACATCTGAAAAAATTCTTTCGTTAAGTCTGTGCCAAGGTAATATGTAAACAGTTTGCTTATAATGTCAAATAAACATATATTGATCTTCGTCTCATCTGAAAGTATTCCTTTCACGTTGACACTGAAAGTAAATTATTTCCATTATATTCAGAGATGGACAGCTCCGTGGAGCTAGCTCCGCTCCATGGAGCGGAGTCGGAGCGATTTTTTTTCACCGAGCCCGAAGCTGGAGCGGAGCGCTTCTTGAAAAAAATTGAGCTGGAACGGAGTCAAAGCGGCCTTTTTCTCTCTAGCTCCAACCATAAGCTCCTTTTCGGATTAATTTCGACTATAATCGATTAAAATTTGATTAAAAAAAAATCGATTTTAATTGTTTTTTTTCGTGATTCATGAAAAATCTTCAGCTGATATTCATCAATCTGCATGAATCATAATCGATTTAGTTCATCAGATTTTAATCTTTTTTTATCCCTAACATTTTTACATGGGTTTTCCTTTGTGAACGAAGACGGGGAAATTAGTGAAAGAAAAGCTCGTCATCTAGTATTCAATGTAATGAATATGTCACTGTTACATTTTAATCAATGACGACGCTTGAGATAATGACTGACCGTTCATTTAGTTGATTGTTCTATGGCTGATTGGACTCCGCTATTGTTAGTTTTAAAATGTATGAACATGACGCCGGCGAAGAGACAAAATTAAATCAAATAAAATGTGACAGAATTGNCATGGCCCAATCAAGATTGAGATATATCTCGTTATTCGATAGATTATCGAGTAAATTTTCTCGACACAAGTCTTGATTGATAGACTTTAGTAAGTGAGCTTTCCAAGCTACGATGGATTCACGATAAGCTCAGAATTTTTTTGAAAGCTTGATCCAACAGTTCTTGATCTGTTTCTGTCTCCTTGATGACTTGTTCGATGTCATTCAGTGTGGTCGTTACATTCGAACACTCAATACATGATTCATTATGCTCATGATCACAATCTTGAGGAAAAGTGTGTTCTTTTGGATTGCTCAACGCATAAAAGCAACAATGATCAGCAATGTTGCTTGCTCTCATGACGTGCACTTTATAACCAGATTTCAAATAAAATCGAGCACATTTCAAATTCTCAATAAGTCTTGCACTGTCAATACAAAGGGCGACTTTATCTTGAATCATTTTTTAATGCCGTCAAATGCTCCTCCAGCGTCAGCGGCGAAGTAGTTACTGCCTTGTAAAGACTTCCTTGTTGATGCTTTACAAGTCTCAAGAATAGTAAATAAACTACTTTTACCAAATGGTTCAAAATCTAAACACATTTCTTTGCAATAAAGCAGATACTGATCGATAATACGGATTGCTCCAATATTTCTCATCGTATTTGGAATGAACAATTCAATTCCAGATGATAGCTTCAACACTTTCTCACCAAACGGTGAATCCGTACACACATGAGGTGAAATAATAAAATCAACGGAAATGAGCGATTTGATTATCATCAAACCGTTCTACTACTTTTGGTGTTATGTCTACTCTCGAACCGACATCATATTTGGCAGCATGCATACGGGCTACAGAAAATCTATAACCAATTAAATCTGGTATGTAGAGCTGTATGAGCTTTAACGATATTTTGGTTGCATGATCGAGAGAATTTCTCCTCTTGATTGCCACGATTCAGCATTGGTATATACTTCTGAAATACCACTCATTATTTGACGAAAATTTCCGTCTAAAACAATGTTTGAATCTTCACTGTTTATGTCCTTAAATGAGTCATACATAAGCATGTCAGCATCATCTGATGCTATAAGTGACGTAGCTGATCGTGTTATGAGTTTTACTAAACTTACATATGAGAATTTCACATGATGTGATAGATCTTTATAGGAAGCTGTCACATTTACTTTTCCTCACCAGCTAAAGGATTTAAAGGCGGCTGATAATCAAGATCCTTGTTGTTCATTGACTCCTCTTTACAACACACTGACTCAGGATCGAAAAGACACTCAAAAGCATCGTTATGAAGATCTAATTTTTTTTATTTCTGTTTTTTTTCGAAGCTTCCGTTCGATATGTTCTGCAGATAAGCTTTCCGTAAGAATTTCTTACATTGAAAGACTCAAATAAAGTTATAGCTTGACTTATAGTAATGTTTCGTAAGTCAGTTTTGCCATAAGATGTTGTTTGTCTTACGTTCTTACATACATCACATCTACTATTTGATTTGGAAAAAGGAGTTGGTCGCACAAGTACTTTGTAATGAGCATCACAAACGAAAGCATTCTCAACAGCAAACATGTGCTGAAAAAACATGTCTCCTCTTAGAAAAATTACCACTAAAAGATTTTCAGCTTGAGGAAATGTTTTGTTATTTATAGCTTTATTTTTTAATCCTGACAACCTTATCCAAGTCTCTTGTTTTGAACAAGAAACTTCATCACAACATCGAGAAAAAAAACACTCGGTGCTATTCATATTTAATGAATAAACAACAGCTTACTTAACCAGTTAATGTAATAAAATAATCGAATTCAAGTTTGATTTATAATTGTTGAATTTAAAATATGCCTACGTGATACACAAATAGACAGAAGAGTAAATGCATGTGTCGAACACATGGTTATACGATACTTATTTATTCTTCCTCCCAAGCCTTTTTCGGTTATATATGTATACAGTCACCCACATAATTAGACAATTGAATTTTATGTTATAGAGTGATGACGAATCTATAGATTAGAAATTTGAAAATTAGACTGAAATTTTATACGCAGCAGACAACAGTCTAATGTTTGAGTATGGAGTTTATATTTTTTGGAGAAAACAAGGATTGATTCATTAGTTCACATTGAGCACATATTTATTCATATAAGTCGGGCGTATGCAGTGGCGTAGCCAGGGGTTGGCAAATGGGCAATTGCCCAGTGAATTTAGAGACTTGCCCATTGTAATTTTTATTAATAAGTTTTTGCCCATTGAAATTTTACTTTTTCAGAATTGTTTATTTATTTTTTAATTAGTTAGTACCAGTATTTTTTTCTTCTGTCTAAATCGCACATGCACTCTTTGCTTGTTCTTTCTTTTAAGAGTTAAACAGAACAACAAAATGACAAGTGCACAATTGTGAATATACATATTTGTTCTTTTCTTTTTTCTTTCAATTTTGCTTATAATAGTTGTATAGACGAATGGACAAGATGATAAACTGGACGAGATAGGTTATAGTTCATCTTCTTCTGTACCAGTATTATTAGAAAGACGAAAGAAAAAATAAAAGAACAAATATGTGTGTATTCAATTATGCACTTATCATTTTATTGTTCTGTTTTAAAAAGTACTAACACTAAGCTATGTCGAATGAAAAGCGATCCAATACGTTATTAAACTACAATTTTTCTTCCAAAAAAATGCGTACTGCTACTGAAAATTCAACACAAGATTCGAATACACCTGCAATTAGTGCAATTACAACTACAACAACTAATGATGATTCTAGTTTATTTTTATCCAGTGATTCTGAAGATTTAGGCCAGGTGAGTGATGAAGTTAATTTTAATGCCGAAACTTGTGTTATTTTACGTTATAAATAAAAAAGTTTTGTCCTAAGGCCTATCAAAAAAAACCTTGCCCATTTTGCCCATCGTTTTTGTTCGACACAAGAGAAGTTTGCCCATCGCTCTAAAAATCCTGGATACGCCACTGGGCGTATGTGCAAAGTATTTAAATGGTTTATAAATCACTTTGAACTGATTTTTTGAAAAAAACACGCTAATAGGAATTTTTTTCTCAGGAACTCTGTTTTGGTTGGCAAATATTGCTGGTAATTTTTTGAGTAAAAGTGAGATTTTTTCTAATGGTTTTGTAGAGGAGAAAAAGTTGTACAATATATATGAAAATCAGCGTGAGATCTTTTGAAATGGCTGAATGATATTGAATACACTGTGATAAACTACAAAAAATTGACTGTTTTTTCAATTGGAAAATGAGTACTCACGANTTGAGGTATATTCAACCATGGGCAGTTGTCATCACCTAACACAAAATCTGTGAGCAACTACTGCTAAACCATTGAGCGATTTCTACTTTGGGTGGGAGTGGGGGTGGGGGTGGGGGGGGGGGGGTGTGGGTGTGAAAGACGTTTTAACCCACACCCCACACCCACACCCATACTCACACAAGGAAAATCTGAGTAGCTTGTTCCCTTTCTGCAGAAAATGACTACAAAATTCGACATGTTTCTCTGTTCGGTAATGACTCAATGTGTGATATTGAAATGCAAGGACTAAAATATAAGAGAAAAAAAAAGACCAAATCTGCTTTCTTTGAGTCTTTCATTAGACAAGAAGATTAAGCATTAAGAATTCGATATGATTTGAATGATCAAACAATGTAGTACTAAGATCCCCTTGAATGTATCAAATGTGGATACTCTTTGATGCCAATATTCGTTTTTTGTCTGTATCCTTGTCGTAGTGTAAAGAAAAATTATAAAACCAGGTTGGTGGCGTACATAAAGCGAAGTAGCGACTCCAGGACATTCGGACAAAGTGAAATAATAGTGTGAGATTAAATTCGTTATTTTTCTTGTGTTCTATTCTGTTTCGAATAGAAAATGTATCAAGGTTGACGATGACAATATGGGTGTTTGAGGAGTGTCAGAAACTCATGAACCGCAGAGCACAAAGTGTCTCGTCTTATCTCGCTATGCTCTTTGGGCGATCGGAACGGCAATGAGACCTTGGGAAAACTTGCTTCGTCGTATAGCATTTACATGTTTCGAAATTGCTGTTAGACAGGTTCATTGACTATCGATGTTCTGATGAAAAACTTTTTCTCATTTGTGTAATTTTCGTAGAATCACAAGTCATTCAACACAAGAACACAATTCATGTTGATATCAATGAATATCTCCACCAATCAGTCATCCAAATATTCCTAATCATTTGTTTATTTTGGATTACTCCTAACGCTTCGTCCGTCCCATCTACATTAACTATTGTACGACTTTCACATCAGTAGTATTTGTAGTGATTTATAAGGGTCCCTCAGTCTTCTGTTCTAACACTTATGGCTCATTCTCTCCACTTTGCTCCGAAAACCTGCTCTCATGGAGAATACGATTTTGGACAAACTAATAGTTCTAGAAGGGTCAAATAATAGATTTTTGAAATTATGTCAGACCAAGACCCGTCTACAATCCATACATTAAAATGAAGATCACACTGTTGACGAATTGTCAGTTATCATTTATGAAAGTATCGAAAAACATATTGCTTTGTTTTAACAACTTCGGCAATAGTCTCTCCTGTTTTATTTCGAATGAAACGACGTGCAATTCATGTTCTCAATTTGAGAACGGGACATCATGGACTTCACCGGTTGCGATCAGTGCAGAAGGTGAAGAGACGACTGAAGAAGATGCTACCATATTCGGTTTTATTAATAGCTTCGACTTTGTATCGGGCACTTGTGCAGCAGGACTTATATGATCAGAACTATAAGTGCCATGTATCATCATTTCCATTGCATTATTATCGCTCTGAAATAAAACTATGTATTTATGAAAGAAAATATCCATATTGGCATACCTGTCTCTTGTGGTAGGCTTCATAGTTGACACCACATCGAAGACATTCGTGCCATCGTTTAGGCAAAAAGCTGCAACACATATCACTTACTGATATTATCAATTTTGGATCGATTTCATGTGGCTGAAGTGGATGAGTTAAATAGGAAACAAGGATGCCAACGACTACAACGGTAGTAACTGCAATGGGCGTGTACCACATGTAGCTCACCGAATATAAGTCAATAAGAGGATTACGCCTATACGAAAATGACAATTTTTAAAAATAAAATTAACTGATTCGAAATTTTCATGAACTCGACCAGCCTATTTATTAATTTTACTTCAAAAAAGTTGATGTCACTGTACTCGTAGTCCAATTTGTTAATGCACCATTTGCTATGTCAGTGCAATTAGCTATCGATAATGATAAACTAACACTTGCCATCTGTTTTTTTGTAATTTGAGCACCTAAAAAGATCCATAATTCTACGGCTAGACTTGTGAAAAATCCAACAAGTGCGCCTCGTCGATTGGCTTGCGGAAAAAAGAAACCGAGAACAAAGACACCCATTATCGGACCTTCGAGAACGCCAAACAGAGAAAGTGTTGCATTGAGTATCGAACCAAAATAGCTGACCACATAAGTAAGCAACATGACAAAAACACCGAGTAAGACTGACACTATTTTGCATATAAAGCCTTGTCGTTGATCTGTCAATTGTCTACCCAATAAGCGTTTGTAAACATCTTCAACAAGTACTGCTGCTAGACTATTCAATCCAGATGAAATTGTCGAGAGTGTACCGGAAAAAACACAAGCAAGAAATACACCAGGTAAACCTTTCTTATCGCCCAATACTTCCATGACAAAATACGGAACAATTTGATCGATTTCTTGGAGTTTTTTGGTTGTATACGGATCGCAATCGGCATAGTATGCATAGATGATAACTCCAATTAGACTCGAGAGGAACACGATCAGTGCAGAACCAACTGCATTAATAAATAGTGCTTGTTTAGCGCTACGTGTTGAACGAATGCACATATAGCGTTGTACTTGTGTTTGATTAAATCCATATGTAGCAAGCCCATTGATTGAACCGCCGATGAGCAAGGACCATATTGTATGACGAGTCCGAGGATCGAAGCTAACACTGAAAATGCAGACACAACAGAAAATGACTTCTGCCTTCTCATACAAACAAAATTTCCACAACGATACAGAACAAAGTTGTAGTGTTTGAAGTCCTCTATTGAACTGTGTATGATAGATATGCTTCAATTTTACTTTGCTAGTATCTACATGATCGAAAAGTACTAAAGTACAAAAATTGGCTCTTGAAATTGGATCATGACAATGTCAAAGGTTATGACAAGCACCTTTGTTGAACTTCATTCAGACTGTATTAGATAGAGATTTTTTTCTCTATCCTTTCAAGTACACAAGATTTTATTTTGCTCTACCTTAATGTCAAAAACAATGAAATACGAGGGATATCGAAGTATAAAAATTTGATAAAAATATTCACCTTTGGTCTGTCATAACTCAGGCTAAAGAAAACAAACTAATGTGAAACTTTCAGAATATATGTAGCAAGATGCTCTCCATTGATTGTGCATATTGAATAAAAAGATGGGGGTCGTGAGCTTCCTCCCCCTTCTCTTAAACCTTAAGTCATTCTCATGCATAAAAAAGACACTTGTCTAAATTGTATACCTATTAAATTCAATTCTGCCACCTCGTGATGCTATGGAAAATGCTCGTTTGAAACCACCGAGTGAAATCAAACCTAAAACGACATCTAAAAAACTCTGTATTCGCGATTTTTACTCAAACCTTGAATAATGATTGCAGAAAGACCAACAAACATTACTACTGCTTGTAGAACATCGGTCCAAATGACTGCTTTCATACCGCCCTAAACATAAATTAATAATTAGATCAAAGTTTTTTCTCTAATATCTTTATTTTACCACAGAAGAATAGAACGTGCAAATGACACCGATCGAAATAACAGAAAACCAAATGTTTAAACCAGCAACTAAAGAAAATCAATAGACTTTTTTTGTCTTTTTCTCGAATTTAACATTTTTCTACTTTGACTTAATGCCAATGCGGGTCCATACAGTACAATGGCCATGTACATGAACTGTGTATGATAAAGAAAATTCGACCCATGAAATAAATAAGTTCTTACCATAATCAATGAGTAACTGAGTGAAATACACAAACGTACGGTTCGATCGAATCGTTGATCTAAATACTAGAATATCTCTTTTTTTTTTGTTTTGCAAGCTTAAAAGAATAAAAGAATACTTCGTAGACACTTATAAAATTCATTTCGCGAAATTTAGGCATAAATACAAATGCCGCCACTACTGAAGCGATTGCTAACGCAATGCCTAATATAACATAAATTGTAATAGTCATTAATTAGAAATCGATATTCAATTTACCTTCGTAAGCATACATTGTACCAAACATGTAGACTTCACTGGGTGTACCTAATATAGTAATAGCCGAAAGGAACGATACCGTAATGCTGAGTGCTGTTGGAAACGCCTGTAGAGAATAAATGGAGACGAGTTGTTGTATAGTTCCATACTTACTCCCATGTTTTTGCCAGCTTTAAGAGAATGACACTATTACGTATAATTACTGTATCGAAAGATTAATCATACCCAGGAGAAACTCTTTAGCAGAATTCTTCTTCGATTTAAAAAATCCGAATATAACACCGATGACGGTCGATGATAGAAGAAGTATTACAAGAAGAACATAATCGACAGCGCTCAATGTATTTGATGCCATGTTTACTAAGAAGAAATTTTATCAAAATTACACACTTGTGATTGATGACGATGATCGGAGAATAATAATACGATAGCCTTGGATATGTTAACAGTATTTGATGATAATATCAGTGCTCCTCATATGTTTCGGTCGCCGTATCAGGGACAGAAACAACTTGATGATATATATGTAAAGATAGATAATAAAACGAAATTACATGCATACGTTTTGTTGTGTTCTGTTCTTTACTTGAGACGAATAGGAACGAAATTATATATTCGTCAGCACATTAACAATAAATTCGTATCACATTCCGAACTTACCAAATTGTACATAGCGAATCATTCATAAAAGAAATTAGAGATTATCATAAAAAATCTCGGATTGAATATCATGTAATGGTGGTACAATGCAGAAAACATGATCATCTTTGCTACTGTTTCAACTTTTATCAAAGATGAAAACTATTCGAAATGGTTATATGACATGACTAGTTATCGGTCATCTTTGTACGATGAAGATTCGAAAGCACAACAGTGAAGAAAGCTGTCTCTTCAAACGCAAGTGCACTATCGACAGATTATCAAACATGTTGCAAGCTCTAAGTTACTCGGCAGACAAGTGATATAAGTCCACTTTTTGTCCGATCGGTGTCAAAAAAAAAGAGTTTTATTCACCAATTCATCGCAAAAGTGTAGCTTTTGCATGTTATTACATTGCATTTTTTTTGCCTGAAAAATAGACAGAAGTTCCAACATGATTTCTTTGTGAGCGTAAAACTGTCTTTGTATCACTCACGGGTTAGGAAGAAGTTGAATTTTTATCATGACAATTTGAAAGGTTAAGTTCTTAAGGCTTCCTCATTAAAACGTTAAAAAGTGACGAAATTCCGTGAAGTACAGATTTTTTACTTTTTTGTTCGATGCAGTTCTGCTTGTTAAGAAATAATCTGATATACTGAAAGCTTGTGGAAAACCGCACAACTTCCATAGAGAACATTTATAGGTATGTTGCTTCGTTTCGTAGTAAAATGCTAAACTCTCACCCCACCCTAAAAAACAAAAATTCCAGTTTTTGAAACTCCATGACGGTTGATGTCTTTTGCATAATGCAGATGTAACTAAGGCAAAGTAAATGAAATTTTTACTCTTGATAAACCTTAAATAGTCTGTATGTATGATCAAAATTTCAGAGAATTTCAACTGATTACTGAAGAAACATAGTTGTCACCATGTTAAAAAATGAAATTCTGTGATGCTTGGTCATACCGTATAGTTTCTTTCATCAACTTCATCAATGACAGAAAATGTCGAAAATAAGATTCGAAAATATTTTGTTTGTGTTATGTCAACGATAAAGACCTGTTCTACTCCCATCGACTAACCGCTTTTCGAAGTTAATTACAGTTATGCAAAACGCTGGAATGATTTCAGGTTAATCTTGTGCGGTCAGAATAAGGTTGATTTCTCTTATATTCTGGCGTGTTCCTTGCTACCAGAATCTAAAGACCATTTTTCTGCTAGGTTTTTTTTTGTTTTTTTATGCATTCAGGCTGGATCCAGTCGGAAAGCCGCGCCAAAAACGGATCACAATCCGGTTTTAGAAACACGCCGAAACATAAAGGAACCAACCGGTTTTCTGACGATTCCACCTGCCACAATGATCAATCATTTCTTTGTTTTTCATTGTCAGCCACTTTCTCCGATGGAGTTGGACGTGGGCCTTCTCTTCAGTCACATTCGCATATGATCCAACAGCTGTCAGTGATTATGAATGTTATCAATAGCAAAAATTTATCTGTTTATATTATTATAATGTACGTGCATCAAAGTATTTTAAGCAGGAAGCATACCGACAACCTGGAAAAGAAAGTAATAAGGCGAAAAGTGATTTTTAGTTTCGTCTGATCTTAATGGACTCTATGAAATGATACAAATCTCGTCTCAAAAGTTTTTCATCATCTGACGAGGTTTTCCTTGTGAGTAACAACTTCAGAGTTAATCATCTTTTGTTGTTAGAGAAAAGTTTGATCATTTAAAAGAAATTAACCTATTTCTGATAATTGAATAACTAATTAATAAATCTTAAAATTTTCAATTCTTCTTTTTTTCTCATGTTAGTTCTGTGATTTCTTGTTTTAATTTATATTTTCGATTAAGATCAATTATTAGAAATAATCAAAAATTACTTAGAGCAATCCAAAAGTAGTGGCACCATTACATTTTTTCCATATAGAAAGGTCGAAGAAAGTTTCTTCTTTTTACGGTGTGATAAAGAAAACAATGCTCCATTTTTCTGTGCAATTTGATCATTCTTCAACTAATATCATAATAATAAAATTTCGATAAGAATTGTTTTTATGTCAAACTCTGGCAGATCTGTTACTGTAACAACATCTACAAATATTGAAATGTCAACCTTCTTATCAATGATGATCCTTATATTAAAATAGAAGAATTGGAATAGCAAATTGTTTTTATTTACATCATCATTCAGCAAATCATCTCTGATCATTTGAAGCCTACGAAAATTACCACTTTTTATATACTCGATGATCTGACTGATTTTCAATTGGCTGAACGAGTTCAATTATGCAAATAAAGTTCAGAAAAACTTGAGGAAGGAACATGGCGCTCATATAATGTTGTGACAGATGATGAATCTTGATATTTACCATAAACAAATTGGTTGAAAGTCATCAGATGCTGCGAGGAGTTTTCTCTAAGAACTTATTTTTCATTTTTTTAAAGTCAACTGCTTCTGTTCTCATCCATCATGTGGAACGGGGACAAACTGTTGACCTCTAATATTATATCAACAATTGTTTTCAATCTCTTGTCGACAATATCAAAGATCAAAGACTCTCATTTGGCATCCATGGTAATAAACTTTACTAAGCTATAAGAAGACCACATATGCATCAAGATGTATCCAATTATCTTGAATCGAAAGATAGTATAATAATACCATATCCATCTAATTCGCCTGATCTGGCACCATGTGATTTTCAGTTATTCGATTTTATTAAATCGAATCAACGCGATGGAGACGATGTCGAATCATTGTTTGATACTATGACCAAGCTCATGCACTCTTTGGATAAATTAAAGTATAGAAAAATCTTCTATAAATCGATTCAACGAATGTAGCTGTGTGTGAATAACCAAGGTGATTATTTTGAACGTTTGATGAAATAAAAATTTTGATGAACTTATTTCTGTATTTCTTATCTGCTCTACTACCATTAGTTTTTTTTACACTCTAATACGCATGAACGGCCAGGTGGTAATAGAGGAGACGAGAAAAAAAAGATGAAAGCAAAGAGAAGAACAAATAAAAAGAGAATACACATGGATGATAATATGATCTAACATTATAGTTAAGTTTTTGCATAAAAAACATTTCTTATCAAAATTTTATTATTATGATATTCGTTGAAAAATGATCAAATTGCACATAAAAATAAAGCATTGCTTTCTTTAACACTACATGAAAAAAAGATATTTTCTTCACGCTTTCTATACGGAAATAAAGAAATGGCGCCACTACTTTTGGATTACTCTAAGTATAATTTTATACTACATAAAAATAAAAAATGTATAAGTATGTTTGTAATTATTTCGAAAACTTTAGTTGTTCATGCCAGAATTTTTTAAAGTAATTTATCTTTTTAATTTAATTCGTTGAAATCTGTCAATGACTTCAATTTTGTTCCTTTTAATTAAAAGAAATTGTCACATACTTGTTTATTGTATAGCTTGTACTTCACTGATCAACGAATTTTTCTTGATCCTGTTTCTTAACATATATGATTTATGGATATAAAAATGGTTCGATTTTCTTATTAAATACATTTTATGCTTGACTAACGTTTATTTCTTTTTCTTTTTATTGTTATAACCACATGGTTTTGCTTTTTGTGCTCATTACATTTGCACATGATAGATTTCTTTCGTTTTAACAGACAGAATGAGCAGAATAGGTGAATTAAAGGCAGTTAATATCGAATTGAGAGGGAAGAGAATGATATTTTTAATGTAGGACTCTGTTTGTTTCTAATATCAACTATTACATAATGGAATATATCGAATTATTTTTTACTTTACTTAGCCTCATCCATAATCTTTCATTGCTCTTTTAAAGTCCAAGTCGAAATTTTTTTCTATATTATTTTATTTCAATAGAATCCCGAAAAACTTTCAAGGTCACCATTTTTGATAAGTATATCTTCTCTTAATTCATACACACTAACACGACACACCTATATAGTGACCTGGGGTAATTCGGATCACTTGATCAAAAAACTGAGTGTATTTTGGTCGTTTTTCAACCATTTTACATCAGAAAAAAAAGATTTTTTTATTGTCAGATAGCCCCAAGTGTTCTCTATCCATTCATGTAAAAACTTTTGAAAAAAGTCAATGTTTTGAGTAAGTTTTTAAAAAACTACTGAAAGCCCTAAAAAAGTGATCCGAATTACCCCAGTTGGGGTAATTCGGATCAGTAAGCTATTGTACCTGGGGTAATTCGGATCACTCCAGCAAAAATTGCTAGAACCTCACTTCCCCATCTTCCTATTAACTAACGGTAACTCGTAATTAAATAAAAATTATATCATTTGATAGCCCAAAGTTTTTTCTATGGGACCTGAAAATATCTCCTTAATCCATTGAATTATTAAAATACAGTTCTCAAAATGACAAGAGCTACTAGGCCTTTTTTTTTCTTTTAAAAATTGGTCTGGGGTAATTCGGATCACTCCAGCAAAATGGGTTGGGGTAATTCGGATCACTCCAGCAAATTCTGCTGAAAAGAACTTTGAAAACCTTTAGAACTTTTCCAGTAGGTTTTCATGAGTTGGTCCTGGGAGAAAAGTTGTTCGTCTCGCTTTACTCTACCTTTCCATATAAAATGAGAAAAAGATAAGCTAGTTTAAGTAAAGTTCATGCCATTTTTTAAACAATGAATAAAAGTGTTTTTTTTCGGTGCAGTTAACCGATCTTTCAATGAAGATCTAATTTTTACAATACATCTTTAAAAAAATAAGTTTGTATTTTCAAATTCAGCAGTGTCTAAGCTACAAAATGAGATAAAAATCAACATGTTTGTATATAGTATCAATGAATCACAAGACGATTAATGAAATGTATGATGTTTCAAGATAGTCAAAATCCTTATTTATTTAGTTGTAATTCGATCTTATACTCTTCTCGCTATAGTCATTGTCAAGTACCCATGTAGCCGATCACCCAATTAGTGATTATAATTACATGATAATGCATTATGTTTGTAAATAATGCATTTTAATGCATTATATTTGTAAATAATGCATTTTAATGCACGAAATAGGTTGCATTATCATGTAATTATATACATTATCTGGGTGACCGGCTACATGGGTAATGCCCAAAATTTCTTGCAGTTACCATGGTAAAGATTGAATCATCTATTTGATATTTACAATATGCTACTGGACTTCTGATACTACAATTGGTTTTGCTCGATATATAATAATTGATACATTCTATTTTTTTCTCTATATTGTCATTCGATTGTATTTTAGGCAAAAATATATGTTGTTCAATTCATATAACTTCTTTGTTTTCTTTTTCATTTTTGACGTTTTTTTCTGTGTCACAAATGTCTGAAGAAGGAAGGGACATACGTTGTTTGTTGTCTGCTTCTCTCTCTTTGTCTGTATCAATGTATATATATGTTGGTTTTGTATATTGAACGTTAGTCACACCTTCTCACAGTTCACTTTTATGTCATCAACATTTCAATTCTTGAAAAATAAATATAATAAATGCCACGTAAATATATTAAAAAAAATGAAAGAAAATATAGCAATGCCAAATTTGAACAAGCTATGAACGCAATTAAAAATGGTCTCAGTATTCGTCAAGCAGCAAAAGATTTTCATGTACCTTATACAACTCTATGCACACATACAGCTGGTCATGTCATTTACGAGCGAATTGGTCGACCAACTAAGTTTACAGATGTCGAAGAGTCTCACCTTGCACAATCAGTTTTAGCTTTGCAAGTAAGTAAATCGTTTCATTTCTTTTTCAGTAGAATTTGTATTGATTCTTTTTATGAAGAAATGGGGAGAACCTGTATCAATCAATGAATTTCTAAATTTGGCAAAGCAATATGCATCTGCTCTTAACAAAGATAATTTATTTCCAAGTGATATGCCAACATATGACTGGTTGCGGTCCTTTTTATCTCGTCATTCGAATCTTGTACTGAAGAACTCTACTCCAATTGACAAAAGTCGAGCAAAAGTTACTGCTAGCCAAGTGAATGAATGGTTCAATTTATTAACCAAAGTGATTAATGACAATGATTTAGCAAATCGTCCTGGTCAGATATATAATGCTGATGAAACAGGTAAAAAACTTGATTTTTTTATGTTCAGTTTCATCAAATTCTGGCTATATTGTAGGCTTTTCTGATACTACTGGTTCATCAAAAGTATTAGTCCATCGTGGCACATCCAATGCTTATAAAATTGAAGGAGGAACTGGAGGAAAGTCCTTTACTAGTGTTTTAATTTGTGCGTCTGCAACTGGACATATATTAGCGCCATTTGTTGTCTATCGTTCAAAAAGACTCTTTCAAGAATGGTGTATGGGCGGTCCATTAAATACAGGTTTTAGTAATAGTGATAGGTGAGTTTATTTTTGTACTAGCGCAGTTTTATGAACTTTATTTTAACTAGTGGATGGATGGAGAATAAAATTTTTTATGAATGGTTTCAAGAAATGTTTTTGGAAGCCACGAAACATTTACCTCGTCCTGTACTTCTTATACTCGATGGACATAAAAGTCATTTCACGATAGAAACACTTGAATTGGCTGTCAAAAACGAAGTGTGAGTAAACCAAATACATTGCTTGTCATGCTAAATATGATTTGATTTTTGTTGAATGTATTTCGCAATTCTTTCTTGTACGTTCTAGGATTATCTTGTGTCTTCCTCCACATGCTACTCACGTACTTCAACCCTTAGATTGTGTTTTCTTTAATCCAGTAAAAGTACAATGGAAAACGTAAGTTTTTTTTTTCATTCTCAATTTTTAACTGAATATTTTCTAGAATTTTGAAAAATGAATATCAACGTACACGTAATAAGACCGTTGGCAAATCTCGTTTTCCTGCACTTCTGTCACAATTATGGAAAACAGATGCAATTACAGAAAAAACTAATATTCTCAAGTCTTTCATGAAAACTGGGATTTTCCCATTAAACCCGGCATCCATCGATTGGTCAAAAATTTTACAAGATACAACAACATGTGTAAATGTCAATATTTCTTCACCAACTGTTACTGCTACATGCTTTAACAATGAGATGAACAACTCCAATGATATCTCTGCTTCTGATGTATCTACTGCGTCCAACAACAACCATACCGATGTGACTAATCCATCAATCAATGTTTCAAATACTACTGTCACCGCCATTTCATCGTTTGATTCTTCTATTCAAGCAATATCGGTTCTAGATCAAGTACTGAACGAGACAATCTTAAGTCATGACGACGAAGATGAGGATTATCTTCCGAATCGTTCAACTGGCACTTCAATCGATACCGTAACATTGTCATCCAATCAACAATCTTGTTTGCAGCAAAGTTCCACATCTCAAGGTCAACAGCCAATCAAATCACGACGAAGTTATCGAAAGAGGAAGACACGTCCAAAAATTATTGGCATAGATTCATTAGATGAAGAAGGTTCGTATATGATCTTCTCGTTGCTGTCCTATATATAGTTCTTTTGTTTAGATGATACAGCAGCAAACATTTCATCTGCCGAATCATTAAAAGCTATAACAGATACATTGCAAGCTGTGTTTGCACCAACACCTGATCAGCTGCAAACTAAACCAACAAAACGAACTTTAGTTCGTCAATCATCTGGTCAAGTAATGACTCAACAAAAAGTAATTGAACAGCTTGCAAAACAAAGACAAAAAAATTCAAAAAAATCATGTACTACAAGTCGAACATCAATGTCAAGAAAAAGTCATAAAGTAAATTCAAATGGTAAGATAGTATATAGTTCTGATTCCTAAAGCAGATGACATCATATAGGCAATCTAATTTATTTCCTATTCATTTTAGCTGAATTTCAAAGTCTGATAAAATTAGTTCTTATATTTTCAGATTCATCATCTATTGATCCAGCTATAACAAGTTCAATATCAATCGGATCGTCAAATGTTGAGACGAGCCGATATCCAGTTTCATATTCATCACTTCCATTACCACCAAATTTTCAAAATGGTATATTGCTTTTCATTCACATTTAAGATTTAGACGTTGAAACCTTTTTCTGTTACAGTCACAACACCACCATTATTTTCCTATCCATCTTCTGCTGCTCAAACAACTATCTCTTCGAATTTACCAAGTGCAATTGGTTATATGCAACCCTACTACAATCAAGTACCTGTTTATCAAAACCTGCAAAACACATCTGATGTTTCCATATTGTCTCATTTATCTTCTAATTTTGTACAATCTCCTTTCTCTCACAACTTATACAATATTGTTCCTACTGATTCAACGTCACCATCTACATCTAGCTGCTCACAGTGTGGAATGACAGTTAGTTCAGTTACTTCCTGTTCGACGTGTCTTCGATCATTATGTGCCTCTTGCATAAGCCAAGGACAGTTCAGTTCATGTTTTTCTTGTACAGTACGTTTTTCTTATACACTATAACCATTTTTTATTCTTTTATGTGTTCACAGTATCTCTTGCTCTATGAAAATTTGGGTATATTATTTTTCTACTTTGAACTATCTAATAATAATATCATATCTTTGATGTACTACAAACTCTTTATGTATTGTAATGTTTTTTTTTCTTATTTTAATCAACACGAAAACTAAATAAGGATTTTGACTATCTTGAAACATCATACATTTCATTAATCGTCTTGTGATTCATTGATACTATATACAAACATGTTGATTTTTATCTCATTTTGTAGCTTAGANAGATGAGATCAGAAAAAATGATTTTTTCGCAGCGTCGAAAATTGGTCGCACACAATTTTGCTTCTTTTGAAAACAAAAAGTACAAAATTAAAATAAGCTTTACTTTGCACATTGTAGTTCTTTTCACGCTGCATCTCCTGGTATATTTTGTTTTTCTAAAACAACTTATTAAGTGATGCAAAAATGAAATGGAAAAAGGGCGTTTTTTTTGTCCGAGGGAGATTATTCTTTTTTGCTTTGTATTAAAAAAATAATTTCTTATGATTTAATCAAGAATGTGTTTATGTGCTGTAGTACCCAGTCAGACAAGTGTTGAAAAAAGCGACGTTTTTACGCGTAAAAAGGGCACATTTTTACGCGTTAAAAAAAATATTTTTTTTTGAAGAAAAAGCAAGTTTGTAAATATTAAGGTTATGAAATTCATTTTTAAAAAGAAAAAATATTTTTTTTGACGCGTAAAAATGTGCGCTTTTTACGCATAAAAACGTCGTTTTTTTCAACGCTTGTCTGACTGGGTACTCAAATGACGCCGCATGCCGTTATATCCTTTATCATTTATTGACAAAACAGGTGGGAAAATGAAAGAATAGTCAACGGTAATATCCAACTTTCGCTTTTCATAATAACCTGTCTTATTCATCGGCTGATTATTCATAACAACGACAGTATATAATACATGTCATACAAAACCGTTGATTGTTTGATGCTAGACATCTTGATTCATTTAGACACGAATACTGTTGATATTATTCGATGGCAAAATTTTACATAAAATTACAGGTAACACTCTTCTCTAGAAATATTAATGGAGAAAATTTTCTTAAATAGTTATTCATGTACTTCTCGCATATTTTGTTCAAATATGTACATTTTAAGAAGTCTTAAAAAGATGCAATTCATTACCATTCAATTGAGATAAAAAAAAAGAAAAACATTGTATTTTCTCTTTTCTAAACTAACGATCTTAATAGATTTCTATTATATTTTTATAGAACTTACTCATAAGCTATGAAGAGTGGCCTAAAGCAATTATAACAGAACAAGAACTGGGCGAATGTCCGTACTTCATTCGTGGCTATTGTACAGACAAACCAGCATGGCATTGTATTTTAGTTTCTTTAAGCAACGCTGCTGAAGTAGAAGCTCTCAAAGGAGATAAAACTGTGAACTGCAATGACCTCGGCCGCTTGATTAATTATCTTGATAATCAAGGTAAAATTAAATCAATGTCTGGCTGGGGTTTTGATTCACCCAAAATGATCAAAACATTGATTGACAATCATTATGGTAAATAAAAATATCTCTTTTCAATTTTTTGGGGAATATGGAAGGGAGAGGGCGAATAGTAAGAGATATCACAAAATAATGATAGCTAACATTGGCTATGTCAATTATTTTTTTATTGGTAAATGAAAGTACTAGCCTTTAAATGAATCCTTTGCTGAGGAAAGATTTTCAGTTTTTTCGTTTCTTACTTTTTTTGTATGTTTGGTATGTATACTTAAATGTCTTCTATGTGATGAGTAGATTTCGTGGATTCGAAAATTCCTTTCTATCTAAAGAAAGCTTTTAAAAAAACTCAATTTTATGAAAAAAAACTATAAAGCATAGCTTATTTTGAGTTTTTCGAAAAAGTAGTTTTTAAAAACAAAAAAGTTGAATTTTTTTCTTCTTTTCCCTCATGCTTTACGACTGATTTGGCTAAAACTGTCTTATTTAATTTTTTGATCTGATTGTAGTAGGTACTTTTCTTTGTTGAAAAAAGTGTACCTATGAAATGCAGTAAATGTTACACAACTAGACTGATTCGAAGAACAAACGTTATGAATGGTTTTCTAAATGTTTCCAACATATTGATCTTACTGTATCTCAGAAGAAATATTTTTCAGAAAAAGAAAAATAATGCATAATCAGATATTATCTTAGTTGTTACAGAAAAATTTCAGTTCTAAAAAATATAATCTGGATTTTTGCAGTGATTTACAAAGCTTGAGATCATATTCTAATCTTGTATTTCTCATATCTTTGAATGGAGAGTGTTTGAAAATATTGAATATGTATCAATCTTTGTTCTACTCATTGTTATTTATTGATCCTGAAAGATTCAAAAAGTTGGACCAAGTCGTTGTAGAGAAACATCGGAAAAGAGAAATCCTCTTAAGAAGCTAGTTAGTGCAACCCCTCCAGGGGCTAAAATGTGAAACTCATATATGACCTTTAGCCTTGTTAAACCAGTACAAAATAGGTGAAGTGAAATAATAAAAATCCTTCATAGACCAGAGTTGTATTTGAAGATAATCAATCAGCAAAGTAAAGATTTGTCTTATCTATTTCTGCATTCGAACAAAAGTTGTTTGTTTTTTCTACAGACGCCGTATTTTTTGCTTTCATTATTACTTCTCGTTTTTTTCTTAATCTAATATTCTTATTCTCTAACACTTGCTATTCTCGCTTGCCGAAGTCTGTAATATGGGCGAGGGGGCGGGAGAGTATTACTAAGCGTCTGTAATGGAGAAGGCATGCCGTAAAATCTCACTCTTAAACTTACACTTATCCTTTTCTTCGAAAATATATGTGAGTTTCACAAAACTTCACCATTTTTATAAAACTTACATTTATGCCCTAATGAGTTATGCAGCATTCAAGCATATATTTTGAAGAAAACTACTGCATAACTTACCAACACAGGTCAATCATTTTTAAGCCTTTAAAGTTGTATACTTATGAAGAATATGAATGATCTAAAATTCGTAGAATAGCTCAACTATTCTATCATATAAGATAACATAGTAAAAATCTTCATAATCGACCTAGAACGAGTCTGTCAAATCTGTTGAGTATGTCATTCAATTTACATTTTCAACCTCAATAAATCTATTCAGATTTATTTTCCACATATCTCGTTTGCTAAGAGACTATCATTATTATCTGTAGGACGATAAATTTTGTCTATTTTTCATGATATATCATACAGATTTACCACCAATGGATGAAAACACTAGTTCGATTTATGAGAAAGATGATATTCGATTATGTACAATTCAACGTGCAATTCCAGAACAGAAGTTAGGATTTTCTCTATGTTATCACCGAAAAGAACGTTTTCATTATCTCAAATTTTATGGTGATTGGAAATTGAGTCTGGCATATCGATCAGGCATCAAAAATTTCGATCGGATCATTTCACTAAACGGTGTTAATATTGAAAAAGACACACAAGGTGAACTCGGCAGACGTTTCGACATTGATCAACATCTTCCAGTTCAAATGCTTGTTTGCAGTCCAGCAACATATGTCCATTACAGATCTACTGGAAAGCTTTTGCATAGTGACCTTCTAACTGTCCAATATTTGAAACCTATATATGCTACATCAAGTAAGTAATACGTATATGTCTAGCCGTCTTTTGTAGTCCAATTATTATTTCAATTATCAATATAATTCTAGTATTGCACACCAATGCAGATACACCAGAACTTTCTCATGATAATGAAAGCTTTTGTGTTGTACAATGGGAGAACAGCAACATTGTTTCTACGATACCTCAGTCAGCAATTTTCAAATCACCTGAATTCACTAGTGTGAATGATATATGTTTTATCGAAACAGATGAACACTATCGAAAAGGACGAATTATTTTGAAAGGTTTGTTGTTATGCATGAAAATTATTTGAAAAGAGTTTCATTTATTGACAGATTCACGTGATAATTGTGAAAAGTTGACAAAAAATTCGGCTAAATCAATAATCGGTAACGTTTTCAATATTTTGCTTAATTTTTTGTTCATGAAAAAAAAAACGCAAATGTTTTTAGATTCATCTAGAGATCATAGTGTTGGTTGTGCTGATGATAAGTCTATATTTTCATTAGATGGAAACACAAGATTATTTTCACAAAAATCATCTCAGGTATATCATACATGAAATATTTGATTGTTTTCTAACGATTGTATACATTCATATTGAAATTCAACTGTACAATCGTAGAAGAACAGATATTCTGACAAAGCACTTATGTTTTGTTTTAGAATCCGGAAACAGATATAGTGCAAGTTCAATTTACTATTCAGGATAAAAATAACGATACTAAAGTGATACAGAATACTGATGATGTCCAATGCATTCAAGACCGTAAGTTACACTTACTTGCTATTTTCAGTAAAATACAAAGGAATTTTACTTTTTTTTTTAAATTATGTTTTAGGTGTATATACTACACTGGAAGAATTTCCAAACGAATTATTTTTCTATTTATTCACTTTCATCGACATTCAACATTTATATAATGCTTTTTGGGGACTCAATTCACGATTGAACAATATTTTTCTAGCCTGTCAAAATATATCTCTAACATACGATGAAAAAGTCAATCCATTACTGATGACATTATATGCTCCTTATGTAAATCGATTGATAATTCAGACATCGATCGATCTTGATTTTAGTCAATTTCCTAATTTACATACATTGATATTATGTAATAGAAACTCAAAATATCTGCAACAAATTCAATCAAAAATGATTCCCAATCTGATTCATCTATCGTTTTTGTTAGGATCAAGATTTATTCCGCCACGACAATTAATTTGTGATGTGTTCTCTAATAAATTTCCAACACTTCGTCAGGTTAATTTGGGCTGTATCGATGAGTCTACTTGTAATTTATGGACTACATCACCTTCTCTCAAGTTTGTGTCAATCCTTTCTTGTAAACCAATGTCTGTTCTAGCAATACTTGCTTCATGTCCCAATCTTCATCATCTTCAAGTTCATGTTTTATATAAAAATAACAATACTCTTACTTCGTTTCCACTAGTAAATCATGCACTTCGACGACTGACTCTTTGGAGTGATTATACCGAACTAACTTTTAATGATATTGATAATATTCTTACTTATACACCCAATGTTGAACATTTGTATCTACAAACAGTATATAGTACGCCATTTATTCATTTAACTAATGGCCTGATCAATCGATTGCATCATTTGTCTCGATTTGATTGTTATATCAAAGAAATATTGACCGGTGATGATCGAATCAGTACCTTACATAGTATACATCGAATTCATCCTTGTTTTAATCGAATTAAATGTTTAGAAGAAAATGGTAAATTTCGAATGTTTGCTACTGAATAGATTCTTAATCCGAACATTAGAAGATTAATTTTCAATAATAGTTTCATCGATATGTCTCATTCATTCAACATTATACTTTACCAAACGTTCGTTTTTATTATAAAAAAATGATTACTATTTTCCATTATTTTTTCTTTTATCCATCAAACGATGTAATCTTTGTTTCAATCTGTATATATAAAGAAGAAAGTTTGTTTGTTTGTATGTTTGTTCTTTATGCATTCAGTCCCTGTAAGAGCTAGAGCAGCCAAACTTCGCATGGCACACCCTTGGGTCCAGGGAAAGGTAAACACGCGGTCGGTGGGACCGCGAAGGGGCGGGGGTGAGGAAAGTACTCCCCTAGTTTTCAAAAAGTGGTGGAAAAATCTTAGGATTTTTTTAGAAATATCGAAAATGTTCTCTGATTTCTGAAGTACTCTCCTCCGGCTTTGATCTCTTCACTCTGTCCCTGGGTCAAGGGCTTTTTTCAATCAAAAACTTCTACCTCCACCGTACTTAGTAACTCCATTGTTGGAGCACTACAATAAGTGTCCCATCCAAAAAGTCCGTGTGTGCGACTTTTTTTCTCAATAACTCGAGAGCGAAAGGAGGTAAAGACCTGCGGTTTTGGCCATTCGACACAAGCGATTCTATGGTATGAAAGTATGCTCGAATTTGATTGGTCGATTTGCTGACCAATCGGATGTTAGCATATTTTAATGGTCAGTAATATTGTTTTGATCAGGTTTTCAACAAAAATGTTTCAAAATGATGACAACGCTTTACAAAGAAGCTTTTTTTAACTTCAAACTAATGTAGATTTAAAAAATATTAAAATGCCAAAACTAGAGATGGGCAAAGTGGTCCCGGTCCCAGTTCCAATTTTGTTTTGACGGGGACCAGGATCGGGACTAAATTTGTTTTCCACCGAAATGAAACTAAAACAATTGGTCCTATTCACGTCTAATTAAGTATCTAAGAAGGAGGATATTAGTGACTAAATCGGTTGCAGTATAGCAGCAAGATGTTTCAAACCTATAGGCAGTGGTAGAGAATAGTTTTAAGCTCTATACTGACAAAACTTCTGCTAACCTCGGTACTGGTACAGACGATTTCCCTAATTCTGCGGAAAGTTTTTTTTTATTTTTTATTTTTATCAGTACGAAACCATTTTACATCCAATCACAAATATTTTTATAAATCTGGATTCTCTCGATTCTCCTCTTTCAAATGATATATTTTTGGTCTTTTGTTTCTCATATTTTCACGTTGAAATAATCGGTCTACAAAAATGAACTTCAATTGATAGAATTAGGGTGTAATTCCCTAATTCTGTCAGCCAGCAGAAAAATGTCCCTAATTCTGCGTCTTCTAATAAAATACATAGAAAAAGTTAACTTTGGAGAAAAAAGTATTTTTTAATATTTTTCAAGGGAGATGGAGGGGAGGTATGTTAGACATTTTTGTAGAGCGGATCAAACTCTACTATAATCCAAAGGTTCAACAGAATTGTATCTTCTTTGATTGAGATATGTACCGTGAAAGGAAGATGTCTGAAGGTAGTGGAAAGCAAGTTGTCCCTAATTCTGCAATCCAGCCATTTTTTGTCCCTAATTCTGCCATTCAGCCATTTTTTGTCCCTAATTCTGCAGATAGTAGTTTTATGCCTAATATGAAATTTTAGTTATTTTTTGTTTCTAATTCTGCAGATAGTAGTTTTATGCCTAATATGAAATTTTAGTCATTTTTTGTCCCTAATTCTGAGGATAACTGATTTTTTTTTGTCTTACATGATAATAATCAGCTATTTTTGTGATGATACTTATGTACAAATTTAGGGAACACTTCAAATGTATGCCGGTCAGTCGGCCGCTCGGCCGTTCTCATACCGCTTTGCCGGTCAGCCGCTATGCTGCTCTGCCGTTCTCGTGCCACGGCATAACGGTACAACACAGTTTTGTTTTAATTATATTATGATACATTAATTGTTTCCTTTGATGTATGTATACAATACATCATGTATATTGTTCTATTCCTATTCAATATTCTTTAGCTCTAGACTATTTATTTTCTCCAACAATAACGAATTTTTTAATTAGTGATAAGATTTTCGTTCAACTTGATCACGTTGCAAAACTTGATAATGATATTCATGTCATTCTTTCTTGAGACCATTTTTTTTTGAATATCAACTCTCTGTAGCTTCGCATAACAAAAATACTTTAAAAAGTACTGAAAAATCCGATGAAACGTATTATAAATGAATTAAGTTTATACAGAATAGCTAGAGTCAAATTGAATATTTATTCAAACTATAACCTATGAAAAATAGTGAAATAAAATAACAT